CAGGCCTCAGTAAACGCATACTGAGCGAGGGAGGCCGTGGGTAGTGTTTCTTCCTCATTCTAGATCCTTCTGTGATCAACATTTAGCTAATGTGCCAGCCCCATGCCCCAGCTGCCTTGTCCCTTGTCACCACTACAGACAGGCATGTTTTCTGTCCCCACCAGTCAGTGACCTGTGCCCGGAAGCCAAGCTAAGCCCCAAGAAATATGCAGACACCTGTCATACGTTATTTATATATCTAGGAGCTGTAGTCTTGCCAGGCAGAGAGAATGTGAAAAAAAGAAAAAGAAAAAGGAATAGAGTAGTAAACACATTGGTTCAATTTCACCCAATCAGGGGCAGGTCTAGAGAACTAGGTTGTATAACTAGGATTCAGAGGTCATAGGTCAAGGGGCCAGCCCAGTGGGAGGACACGGGCCCTGAAAAAGTGCCCCGCGTGTCCATCAGCAGCACGATGATCCCTCATATTTGGCAAAACAACAAGAAAGCTGACCTCATCCCCGTCCACTGAGATGGAACTCCACCCGGCAGCAGATGGCCCGAGTCACCCTGGAGAGGACAGGTCCCTGTTTGGTGAGTGGCTTTTAAGCCCCCAAAGATGCAAATGTGAACAATAAAGACCCAATAAACAAAAACCCATAGCATGTGTACATTTGTATTGAGTGCATGTCGGGTCAAGTTTTGTGTGTTCGTGTACCAAGCCCGGTATTTTTTATGTCTAAGCACAGTTGGCCGCTATGGTTTCGCACGGGTCCGAGGGAGTTCACTGACATCAGCTGAAATTTTAAGTCGGACATTTAAGAGAAGTGGACAATGTCTGTACACAGATATTAGAATAGTTAAGAGAAGTGAATATTCACTTTGTTCATGAGTTTGTTTTTCAGATTGGGACCAATCTTTGAAACCCTTGGGCAGGTTTCGTTTCTTAGTGGTGTGTGAAGCATTTACAAGAAAATGAAATTTATTAAACGTGTAAATGTAGTTTAGCGTACCTAAGGCAAGTGAGCGTACAGGGCAGGGCAAACGCAGGTTTACAGCTGCGAGTACACGAAACGCAGTTTATTCTCGTTATTCTGTAGTAATTCCTGTGTTATTTCCCATGTGAACAACTGTAAACCTACTTTTGCCCCCCACCCGGTATGTCATTTTAAATCTTCTTGTAGCCACATTTGAAAAGGAAGATGTAAACACAACTGGAGTGAAATGTATTTAACCCAACATATCCAAAATAGTCTCACGTCAATGTGTAATGCATGTAAAAGTTGTTAACAAGACGCTTGACAGTTTTTGAGCACATCTCCAAAGTCTGTGTACCTCGCGTTTCCAACACGTCTTGGGTCTGACCACGTTCTCAGCACCTGCTCTGGGGCCTACGGCTTGGACAGTATGAACCCCAAGGGGTCAAACCAGCTACGTGTGGGTGGTGGTTATTATTTAAAGAAGCCTATTCCGTTCCCCCTGATTTACTGAAATAGCACGCAAAGGCCCCTTGAGAATCACTGTTAAAAATTACTGGGCCTGTACATAAAACAAGATATGTACATTGAATTAAGTTAAGAAAAAAGAGTAAAAACTTGTTAATTTAAGAAGCCACCATGGCTATTTTAAAGTAACCACAAATAGCATTTTCAGTGCGCAACAACAGCCCTTGGGGACCTCGCCAACCACAGTCTAGATGACACCAGAGTCCCTGATCGCGACACTGGCCCGAGGTGGAAGGCCTGGTTCTTTGTTCCTGGATCACATGCAGAGCTCGGAGCTGCTGAGCCCTCGGGGACTGTCTGCCCGAAGCACCCCGTTCCACCTACAGGAACACCGAGGTCCAGAGAGGAGAAGGAGCACACGGTGAACCAGAGGCCGGGACGGGGCAATACCTCCAGCCTCCGGACCCCACCCCATCCTCACCGGTCATGGGCTTTTAGTTCATTCCCTCTGCCTCTCCATCCCCAATGGGCTGACCAGGAAACTGAGTCACAGAACTGGAGAGTAGGTGGACGCGGGCCTCCAGGGAGTCCCAGCAGAGAACTGGACAGCATGGCTCTCGAGGCCCCAGTCTCTGCCCTGGTCATTCCATAGCACAAACCTAGGTCCGACGAGAGTCCGGGCCAGAGCCTGGGCAGGGAAATAGCTGTGTGAGCCTGGATGGAGCCTGGAGCTGGGACAGACGCGTCCTGCTTGGCACCCTCTGCCACGGCCAGGTCGGCCAGGGCCCCAGAGGGCCAGAGCCAGCTGCCTGCAGTCCCAGGGCGTAGCCTGGTGACCCACCAGGCTGCACACACCACTCTTAGGGTGAAGCCCTAGAACCTCCCCATGAGCCCCATTCTCCCGGCCCCCTTTCCTCCTCTTCTCGGTTCCTTCCCTTCCTCCTTTGTGTTGCCTCCTCGGAGGTGCTAATCTTCCCCAGCCTGGTCTGCCCGACACACCGATTTGGCCAAGGAGAACCCCACAAGTAGATCTGGCTCCGTCGTGCTGGGGTTCAGGCCAGGGGGAAACCACTCAGATAGGCCTGGGTCATGGTCTGCCCACGTCCGCTCGCTCTGGCCGGACAGGAGGCCCCCTCTGCGCCCCCTCCACTCCTGGGGGCTCTGGCCCACGGTTTCTCCTGCCTGGGATGCCTTCCCTGCCAGACCATGTCTCCCAGCACTAGGGATACAGGCCACTGGGGACCTCAGGAGGGTCTGAGGAAGCATCATTAATGCCACTCAATCACCTGGAGAGCAAACGGTTTCCTACGCATTTCGAGCCCCCCTAAAGCGTCAAGAGAGAAGTGACAACTGGAGCCAGATGTCTTTGTCATTTCCCTCGACTCCCCTGAAACAGATGGCGGGGAGGCAAGGTGTGGTCTTCGGGCTCCAGAGCTCGTACCTTCCTTGAACTTCTCGTGAGCACGTCACAGAAACTGGCTCTCACCACTGTTGATCTGCGTGCTCACCTTTACCTTTTACTTATGGAACATGATGTCGGTTTTCTTTTTTTTTTTTTTTTTTTTTTTTTTTTTTTTTTTTTTTTTTTTTTTAAATCCTCATCCGAGGACATTTTTCCATTTTTTGTACAGACAGTGTGGGAGGAAGAGAGAGGAAGAGAGAGAGAGGGAAACATCGATGTGAAAGGGACACATCGAGTGGCTGCCACCCGCACGACCAACCAGGGCCGGGGACAAACTGCAACCAAGGTACATGCCCTTAGCGGGAACCGAACCCGGGTCTCTCCGGACCGCAGGCAGACGCTCTAACCGCTGAGCCAAACCGGCCAGGGCTGATGTCGGTTTTCCATTTGTAATAGTGACATTGTTTCCTTCAAAACTAAACTTGTATTGCCCTGGCCAGTTTGGCTCAGCGGTTAGAGCGTCGGCCTGCGGTCCAGAGAGACCCGGGTTCGGTGCCCGCTAAGGGCACGTACCTCGGTTGCAATTTGTCCCCGGCCCTGGTTGGGTCGTGCGGGTGGCGACCACTCGATGTGTCCCTTTCACATAGATGTTTTTCTCTCTCTCTTCTCTCTCCCTCCCACTCTATCTGAACAAAAAATGGAAAAATGTCCTCATGTGAGAATAAAAAACAAAACAAAACAAAAAATAACAACAAAAAAACTAAACTTGTATTAGTAACAAGCGAGTCAGCTGAATATGAATGCAGCTTTAAAAACACGCAGGAAATCACCATACTGGGGTGGAGGGGCCGGGCAGGAGTGTCAGGATGAAACCGGGACTGAAGTGTCGGGAACTTGGCTCCAGAGGTCCCTTCGCTTCACTGTCCTGAGCTCTGCCCGGGCCCTGGGTCCCGCTTCCCTTCAGGCTCCGTTCAAGGTCAGTCTCCTGAGGCTCGAGCGCCGACCAACAGACCTTTCAGACTCAGACTCATTCCGAGCTGAGGCCAAGGCTGGGCCTCATGGAGAAGAACAGAGAGCGAGGACGGTAGAAATGGGGAGGAAGGGGTCCTCTCTGACCATCTGTCTCAGCTCAGGGCAGGTGGCTGAGCTCCGGGCGCTCCTGGGACAGCCAGAGAGGCCAGGCTGATTCGCAGGGGCTGAAGCACTCCCATGCCCGCTTCCAAAGCCAGACAGCTTCCCCTGAGCCCGAGCGAGGCCAGGAGGCTCAGAGCACACGGTGGACAGAGAAAACAGCCCCCCAGTGCTCCCAGACCTCCAGCTGTCTCAGATGGCCTCCTGATGAGGTCTTCCTGGGTCTCCTTCATACCAAACCAAAAGCGCTCGGCATCCCCGTGGCCCAGAATTCTGTTTCACACCAACCTCCCTAACCCCCACATGTGAGGGCCCAACCGTGACAAGATCTCTTGCATTGCTGGGCCCCTGCCCGGCTCCTGGCAGCTTGGACCCACATTTGGCAGGGCCGATAGCGTCCGATGGTCACAGCCCAGTGCCCAGACCTTCTAGCCACCTGATGCCTTGGCCCAGGTCATGAGGGTGTCCTGGCACGCAGCGGGAGCTCATGAGAAAAGGGAGGTGGCCCTCAAGAATCTTCCTGTTTATTTGTGTCTTAAACTGCCCCAAACGGTTGTGTGAGAGCTGCCAGCGATTAGCTGTCCTCAGCTCCCTTTGGCTTCCAGAATTCTGCCCCGGGACTGCTCTCCTGTGAGCGGCACGGGCCTAGTACTGCCAGGTCCTCTGCTCCGGGGTCGAAAACACAATCACCAGTGGTCCTATCTCTCTGGGAGGCGAATGGTTCCTTCCTGAGAGTGACAAGAACTAGGGAATGGGGGAGTTGCTGAGCCTGTGGTGGGAGGTGTCTCCCTCCTCAGACCCTGGGAGCCTGGTGGCAAGAGCTCGCATGTTCCTGAGCTCCTCCTCAGCTCTGTCCAGGGGGTTCCCATACCCTCTCCGGGCCCCGACGGCGGTTGGCACAGCTGAGGCCTCCCTGGTACCAAAGTACAGCCTTGGCTCCAGGCTCTGAAAAGGCGAGTGTGAGAAAACAACCAGAAAGTGGGCCAAGAGGCCAGAACCCAAGTCCCCCAGCTAGAGCGATGGGGATGGGCGAAGGGGGCTACCTGCGAGGGCTTCCGTCAGCAATCCAGCGGCCACGAAGAAGAACCACATGCCTGGTGCCATCTCTGACTGCTATGCGTGTCCAGCAGCACGGAGCGCCATCCTCGGGCCAGGAAGTGGGCACGGCCGGCTGAGTGCCCCTCACACCCGCTCTGCCCCTCACCGCTGCTGTTTGTATCTTCCCCTCTGCAAGACAGAGTGCTCTTCCACGCATGCGGGCAAACAGCCGGTGAGTGTCTCTCACACCTCTGTGTTCTGCTTGTGGTTTTGTTCTCCAGGAAGCCAGGTCTGTGTTATAGGGGCTGGTAGGGAGAGTCCAACGGCCTTTGCTGTGAGCCCACCGGGCCTGAATGAACCCCACGAGTCCCAGTGAGACACACACACACACACACACACACACACACACACACTCCTTAAAGAAAAGTTAAGTGGAAGAGGCAGGCCTTGTTTCTGGAGACCTGATACATAGTAGATGTTCAATCAATGCATGTCAGAAAAGTGGACGAGGGGCCCACTGTCTGTCCCTTTCCATAGAATCTGGCTCTCCTGGAATTACATCCTAGTGGTTGCCTTGTCCTTGGGGGCAGGACAGCTGGGAAGAGGGAGGGTATGGTCTGGCACTTCTGTGAGGGAGAGCCTCCCATGTCCTGCGCAGAATCGTAGAATGGTACATCGGGTAGGGCCTGAGAGGTGGTTTGTTCCCACCTTCTTTGCAGGCTGAAACCATGGCCTGAGATGGCAGTGGAGAGGCCTGTGCCCCCCACTCCCAGGCCCCAGGCGGGGTGTTCATTCTGCTGAGGGAGCTGGGCCCAGAAGGAGGAACAGAACTTCAGCAGGGAGGGATGATGGAGGCCTCTGGCCCAAAGGAGCAGAGAGAGCAGAGGGCAGGCAGAAAACCCAGGGCTGGCTGGGAAACACCAAGTCGTCCGGTTGGGCTGCACTGGACACAGGGAACGAGGCAAAGGCCAAGACTTCGAATTCCCCACTGCACTCACTGTGGGACCTACAGTGGGTGCTGAATAAACGTCACTGAGGGGACGAAGAAACAGATAACTGGGTTGTCCCAGCAGAACCCTGAAAGAAGTCGAGGAGACCGTTTCTGTCCTGGCCATTCCTGTGTGGCCGCGTGTCAGATTCGCCTGGCCTGACGCGTCCCTCATCTTCACTTACCTTCATTTCCCTCCCCGTGGGACGGGGAGGATTTCGGAGGACTTCTCTCTTGGGTCCAATGGAAGAGGGCATTTCATGGTGCAGATTTTGGAGCCACAGGGAACCTAGCTCCTCCCACCACAACCCCACCCATCCCTGCAGGGTAGAAAAGGCTCTGCACCAGCTGAGGCTGCCCTCATGTGGAAGGTCTCTGGTAGCACAGGTGGTGGATGGGTGCCTTCAGATTTAATTTAATTCAACTGACACTTTGAGAGACATCCTTGTGAGGAACTCTGGAATGGGCTCTGTGGGAGGTGACAGAACCACCATCCTGCCCTCAAGGAGCACGTAGTTCACAAGCACAGGTGACCAAACCACAGGCCAGGGTAAGATGAACACATTGGGAGGTCTGCTGATGAGCAGAGTCTTAAGAGACACACGTTTGAATGGGCCATGGCTGGACTTCTGTTTCTGGCAATGTGGTAGACAGCATACGCTGAAAAGTTCTCCTGAAACAAAGCGCGTGCACACACACACACACACACACACACGCTGGATAAAAATATTTTAAAACGATTAAAATGCATAGCTGAGGCAGCAAGAAATTAAGGATAATGATCAGAGACTGAAAATGACAGGAGAGCATAAATCCAAAGAGATCATTGAGAGCAGAAGCTCGGGTCGCCCTGAGGTACCTGTTGATGCCAGGTGACCGAGAGCTTCAGTTTAATGGGACAAAACTTTGAGTCCTGAGCAAAGTGAAAAACAAAATAAAACCCAGACCTTGAGTAGACTGGATGAGGCCCATTCACTTTGGAGAGGGCAAGCTGCTTTAGTCTATTGATTCAAATGTTCATCTCATCCAGAAATACCCTCACAGACAGACCCAGAAATAATATGTAGCCAAATATCTGGGCACTTTGTGACCCAGTCAAGTTGACACATACAATTAATCATCACAACAAGTCATTTTAAGTAAAAATTGCACAAAGTAGTAAATAATAGACTCAGACCTTCAAAAACTTTAGATGAAATTATGGCATATGTTTCATAGACTTAAAGAAATAAAAGTTAGGCCCTGGCCTGTTTGGCTTAGCGGTTAGAGCGTTGGCCTTTGGTCCAGAGAGACCTGGGGTTCGGTTCCCGCTAAGGGCACATACGTTGGTTGTGGTTTGTTCCCGGCTCTGGTTGGGTCATGCAGGAGGCAGCCACTCGATGTGTCCCTTTCACATCGATGTTTCTCTCTCTCTCTCTCTCTCTCTCTCTCTCTCTCTCTATCTCCTTCCCACTCTACTATCTAAACAAAAAAAATGGAAAAATGTCCTTGAGTGAGGATAAAAAAAAAAGAAATAAAAGTTAGTAATCAAATGTATAGATAAGGACAAAGACTATTTTAAATAACCAGGAAGATTGGGAAATTTAAAAAGTAGTACTTCTATCAATGGAAAATATAATCTTCAAAACTAGCGATCCAAAGACAGATTAAACAGCAGATTGACATAAGTGAAGAGAGGGCTAGTGAGCTGGATGACAGATCTGAAGAACTTAACTAGAGTACATCACTGAGACAAAGAGATGCAAACTATGAAACAGAGGTTACAAGACACAGAGGATGGAACAAGGATTTGAATAGGTCAGTCTGGAAAATTTCCAGAACTGATGAAAAGCACAATCCTCAGATCCTGAAAGCTCCCCCAAACTACACATGATAAATAAAAAGAAACTGACACCAAACACATATGGTAGCAAAACTGCTAATTGCTAAGGAGAAGATGGGTGAATTACAAGGCAGTCTTGCAGCTAACTTCTTAACATCAATGATGGAAGCCAGAAGACAGTGGAACAATATCTCGAAGTGCTAGGAGACAATAAACGTCAACCTTGAATATGTTTCCAGAATGAGGTTGAACAGATATATTATTTCCAGATAAGAATCGAGTGCATTTACAACTACCAGACTGTCTCCTAAGGACCTTCTAAATATGTTCTTCAGGACCAAAGAAAATAACCCCGGAGGAAAAGTATAAGATTCAAGTAGAAATGGTGAACAAAGAAACATGTGAACATGGAGATAAGCATCGATGGTATAAAGCAATTATAATTTGTGGGGTTAGGGAGAAAAAAAAAAAGATAAAAGTGAAGAACCAGACAACAGTAAAAACAAATTGGTGAAGAGTGGTCAGTTTAGAAAGGTCTATTATTTGGCAGGCACACAAGATAGTGACTAACTTTTGACTTTGTTCAATTAAGTGTACATATTAAACTAGTAGATCAGTACAATGGAATGAGGAGGACAGCCTACTAGAAAGCCAAAAGAAGGTCTGGCCGGTGTGGTTCAGTGGTTGAGCACTGACCCATGCACCATGAGGTTGCCAGTTCGATTCCTGGTCAGGACACATGCCCAGGTTGTGGGCCCGATCTCCAGTGGGGAACATGTAGGAGGTGGCCAATCGATGTTCTCTCTCATCAGTGTTTCTATCTCTCTCTTCCTTTCTCTCTAAAATCAATAAAAAGAAAAAAAATTTTTTTTTAAAAAGCCAAAAGAAGGCAGAAAAGGAAATGAAAAAAAATAAGAAAGGCAGGACAAACAGAAGGACGGGTAGGTTTCAGCAGGTGGAGATGGGTGTAGGGTGGCAGGCAGGGTTCTCCTGACAGAGGGCACAGGGTAAGTAGAGGCAGGACACTGCGGTGAGAGCATCACTGGGAACTGACGTGATGCACCTCAAGCAGCCCGTTTCACAGACATGACTCTTTGAACTGCAAGCTGGAAGAGGTGCCCAGCTGGGTGCCCATCAGTGAGCTCATTTTTATTTATAATTCTTGGAGCCAGGACCTTTGGAGCCCAGTTTGCAAGGACACCTAGTGCTTGGCCAGCCTGTGGAGAGCCCAGGCATTTTCATCTCTCCTGACCTTGGCTAAGCAAAGTGGAATACGATGCATCATTGAGCGGGGCCAGGTCTGAACAGAAGGAATGAAGAGAAGCCCCTGCCATGTAGCATGCAGGAAAATTCAATGCTGCTGACATACTTAGAGAGCACTTCCTACTGTGCCAAACATTTTACATGGGATCCCCTTTCCCACTGTCCTCATGACAACCCAGTTACACAGGTTATATCCTCAGTACATCCTTGCAGATAAGGAAATTGACGTTAGAGTGGTAGTTTTCTCAAGATTCCACAGCCAAGAAGTTGTAGGGAGAGTCTCTGAACTCAGGTCTGTCCGATCCCAAACCCTGAGCTCTAATCACAGGTGATTCAGCTTTTTGGGGTGTCGCCAGGAGGCAGCTGTTGCCTAGACAACCATAAAGTCTTTGGCTGAAACATGGTATCTCTGGCTCCATAGGACTTGACCAGCCCTGCCCCTAACCCAAGTGGAACTTATTCTTTCATCTCTGGAGTCCAGAAACTCCTGCCCTGACCACCATCCTCAAACCAACCACAGCCAAGACCTCTTGTCTTTCCTGAGGTCCAGAGTTCCCTACCACGGTCTAAATAGTCAGACCTACATACACATGCATTAGCTCTAATCACATAGTCATCATTCATCCAACACAGCTTGATCTTGTGTTCCAGGCGCTGGAGATGCAGTCAGTGCTGAACAAGACGGACAAGTGTTCCTGTCCTTATGGAGCTCATATTTTAGCGGGAGGATCACGTGATCAACAATAGACCTACTAAATAAGTAAATTGTATGGAGAAAAGAAATAGAGCTGAGTAAGGGGGTTAGGAGTGCCAGGAAGGGGGGGGGGTTACAATTTTAAATAGGGTAATATTTAAATAGCCTGTCCCCACCCCCCAAATAGAGCCTTACTTGCTGATAGGATATCGAGGGAACAGAGAGAGAAGCAAGGAGGAATGGAATGAAAGAGAAGGAACATCAATAAAAGAAGGCATTGTTGAGTTGGTCATTGTTTGAAAGGTTCTCAAAACCGTCTGCCCATGTATCGCCTTCATCCCTGCGACACCTTGTACCAGCACTAGAGTGGCCCAAGGAGAGGAGCTGGCGACCACCCACAGGAAGAACAATCATGCCCCTTGATTGTTGGAGGCCTCCCTAGTGTAGACCTTCTTGGTGGGCCATTACTATAAGACATAAAGAACTGCATGCTTGGGCCCTGGCCAGTTTGGCTCAGCGGTTAGAGCATCAGCCTAAAGGCCAGAAAGTCCCGGGTTCAGTTCCCGCTAAGGGCACGTACTTCAGTTGCAGTTTGTCCCTGGCCCCAGTTGGGGTTGTGTGGGTGGCCACCAGTCGATGTGTCTCTCTCACATAGATGTTTCTGTCTCTCTTCCTCTCTCCTGCTCTATCTGAAGATAAATGCAAAAATGTCCTCGAGTGAGGATAAAAAAAAAAAGAACTGCATGCTTGGTGCCCCCTCCCACACACCCACCCATGTGCCTCCACCCCAAATATCCTTGTCTCTGAATTTCCAGGCCCTGCCCAGGAGTTCCAATGATCCACACCTGCAGCCACCAGCCACTTTTCCTTCCTTGCTCAGTGGATGATCGAAGGCACTCCCGCATCTCTGCCCATGGGGGGAGGATTTCCCTTCATCATTAACCCTTAGGGCCGCCCCTGAGCCGGTGGTGATGCAGCTTCTGTCCATTTCTAGTTAGTCACAACTGACTGTTCTCTCTCTTTTGTAAACCAGGCCGGAGGGTTTCTCCTCCATCAAGGGCGGCTCTCCTGAGGCCAGAGTTACAAGTGCCAAGAGAAACATAGATGAAACACAGGTCAGGGCCATCTGTTCATGTAATGTACTTGCATGTTCTGGGCCTGTTTGGGCCTGAAGCTGTTATGCAATGAATCACTGTGCATGATCACACCCAGCTCATGACGAGCCCTCAGGTCACCTAGCCATTGGTGACTCGTCACCGGGCACGCGTCTCTCTTAGGGACCAGTAGCACAGCAGAAGATGATTTACAAATGACAAGTGGCTCTCTGTTGCAGGAGTTATGACTTTGCTGCAGGAGCCTTGAGGTTTGTGCTGCAAATTCTCCCCCATTGGAGCCTTCCAGAGACTCCACAGCATCCTCATCTATCTTGGCATCTCCGGTGTGATTGGACTGCATGGATCTTTCGTCCAGGGT